TGCGGGCGGGCGGCGCTGAGGGGCGGCCATGGCCTGGCGGGGCCCGGCGCGGCCACCGGCGGGACCCCCGCGGGCACCGGGACCCCCCCGCCCGCTGCCCCCGCAGCACCGCTCCGAGCGGGCTCCCGAGGCCTGGCCGGGCGCCGGTGTTGGCGGCGGGGCGGCCCCGGCCATGGCGGCTCCGTGGGCGGCGGCGGAGCGGCGGCTGGAGCGGCTGGAGCGGCGCGTGGCGGGGCTGGAGCGGGCGGTGCGGGCCGGCGGGGCCCGCCTGGCAGCGCTGCTGGGCGACAACGCCCGCCGCCTCCGCCGCCTGCAGAGACAGCTCCGCCGCTGCCGCTGCGGGGCCGGCCGGGCAACCCCCGCCGCCCGGAACGGCAGCGGGAACGGCCCGGAGCGCACACGGGGAACCGCCACGGCAATGGGCCCCGGCGAACCGGGAACGGCCCGCGCGGTGAGAGGGACGGGGGTGGGTTCCGGGGAATGGGCACCTGCCCCAGGGAACGGGGACGGGGGTGGGACCCGGGGAACAGGGACAGACTGACAGGGACTTGGGGAACGGGGATGGAGATGAACCAGAGGGAATGGGAACAGAGTTCATGGTGACAGGGATGGGTCCCGGGAATGGGGATGGGAATGAGCCCGCGGTGACTGGTCTGAGGGGAAACACCGGAGCCTCACTGGGATGTCTGGAAATGTCCCTCATGACACAGCTCCATCTGTAGGAGCTCTGGACCCTGCAGGGCTCTCCTGGTGCACCGGTGGGGTTTGGAAGGGGAAGAGGTTGGGATCTCTGTGGTGGAGCCTCCTGTGTTTCCAGGTGCCAGTGGCGGGCGAGGGCGAGGCGGCCGTTCTGCCGGAGCAGGAATGGGTGAACACGGACAGCCGGGAGCTCCACGGACTCGCTGTGAAGGGGAATTATGAGGCCACGGTCCCTCTCGGGGAGGATCAGTCAGATCATGTCAGAGGCATCATCATCCCTGGGCTGATCCAGCTCCCGAGCCCTCCCCACACGGAATGTGGGGGGATTCCAGGTAAATTGTCCTGAAACCGGTGTTCCTGCACCATTTTTTTTCTGGGATATGGGCCATACGTGGACCACCAGGCAGGGATTTGCTGCAGAGAGTCCTAAGTTTTAGCACTGATTAATTCTGGGCTAAAATTTTAGAGGCTGAGTGTTGGACAGACACTTCCTGGGAAATCCCGTGCCTGGTTTGACTGACTCTGTCCTGTGTGATCGGATCATCCTGGGAGCCCAGGACACCCCTTTGGCTGAGCTTCACCATCAGCGTTCATCCCATCACTCCCTCCTTCCCAGGGCCTGGAGATGCCGATTCCAAATCCACGCTGCTGCCACCAGATGAGGACAGGGAGGATCCCGGCATCCCTGAGCTGCCAGAGAAGGGAGCGGTGATGGGACAGCTTGGTGATGGTGAGTGACAGTGCTGGGGGCTGAGGATGGGCACTAAGAACCCACTTGGACTGGATGGGGTCTATCAGGATGGAAAATGGGAAGCAAGGCTCAGAGAGAGTGGCTCTGGGACTGATGCCTGCGAGTGGATTCCCCTCCTGCTCCAGGGAGGGTTTGCTTTGATCTTTTTCCCTGGATTTGCCCACTTAAACTCCACCATTCCTGACAGTTCATTCCAGGATGGAGAACTCTGCAGCTCAGCTTTGCCTTCATTTTCCCTCTGGTTTGGATTCTTTGTGAGGATTGTATTGTCAGTCCATTGTGTCCATCGTGTCCAGCATGTCCAGGTGGAGTGGACATGTGGAGTGGTGGAGTCCCCATTCCTGGAGGGATTTAAAGCCATGTGGATGTGACACCTGGGGACACGAGTTAGTCATGGCAGTGCTTGGTTAATGATTTGATTTGGTGATCTCAGAGGGCTTTATAACCTCAGTGATTCCATGATTCCACATCTCTGAGGTCCAACAAGCTGCCCTGAGTCCCCCCTCTCTTCCCAGTGAAACCTTCCTGCTCCCTTTTGTTCTTTGCCGGTTCCTCTCACCGACAAGTGGTGGGGAAGCTCCTCTCCTGCTCCAGCTCTGGAGCTGTGGGCATGGGAGAACTTCCCTTCCCGGGCACGAACTGCTGTGTCTCCGCAGGTGAGGTGATCGTGATCAAGAAGGAAGAGCAGCAGCCGCCGGAGGACGGGGCCAAGCTCCTGGCTCTGCCCACGGCCCCTGCAGAGAGGCTGGATGAGGAGGTTCCCCTGAGCCAGGAGCAGCCGGTTCCCTGGGAGAGCCACGGCGTGGCTGGGCCGAAGGTGGCCGGGGCGGGACTGGGGGAGTTCTCCCTGGGGGAATTCAAGCCAGTGGTGGTGCCGGTGGAGGCTCATCCCGCCCCGGGGCTGCCCTTCCCCATGGAGCACGCGCTGGGCGCGGGGACGGAGCAGCCGTTCGCCCTTCCCCAGGGAATGCCGCTGGCAGAAGACCCCGGCGCCGAGGGGGCCTCGCCGCAGCCCGGCTGGGAGCAGCACGATCCCTGCGCCGCCGGGGACGATCCCAGGGCGCTCCCGCCGGGCTGGAAGAGCGTGCGGCTGACGCGCAACCTCCTGGCGCGGCAGCAGAGGAAGACCAACGGCTCCTTCATCTGCTCGTCCTGCGGGAAGAGCCTGGCGCACCACGCGGCGCTGCTGCGGCACCAGCGCCTGCACACGGGCGAGAGGCCCTTCCAGTGCCCGGACTGCGGCAAGAGCTTCAACGAGAAGTCCAACCTCAACAAGCACTACCGGATCCACACCGGGGAGCGGCCCTACCGCTGCCCCTCCTGCGGGCAGGGCTTCGTGCAGAAGCACCACCTGCAGAAGCACCAGCGCATCCACGGGCCGCCGCGGGGCTCCTGGCCGGGCCGGCCGGCGCGGGCCAGCGCCGCCGGGGAGCGGCTCTACCGCTGCATCGAGTGCGCCGAGAGCTTCCCCCAGAAAGCGTCGCTGGAGGAGCACCAGCGCCGGCACACCCAGCAACGGCCCTTCCAGTGCCACGGCTGCACCAAGAGCTTCCGGCACCGGCAGTCGCTGAACCACCACCAGAAGGTGCACGCCGTGGCCGGCTCCCCAGCTGGCAGCTTGCCGGGACACAGGCGGGACCTGGAGCCCTGCGAGGCTCTGGGCCAGGACAGTCGGTAGCTGGAGGGCTGGAGGAGGGAAGGCAGCTGGTGTCACATCGCCGTGGGACTTGTGGCACCACCAGGGGCTCCAGGAGGAGGAGGAGGAGGAGGAGGAAGGATGTGCTGCGTGGGCAGGGAAAGGCCCCCAGGGACTGGTCAGGAGGCAGCAGAGGAGGGTCAGTGGCTGGAGCTGAGCCAGGTGGTGCCACTGCCCCGTGGATTCAGCGTCGGATCCCAGGGAATGGTGGAATTCAGGGTTGTTTGAACACTGCCAGCCTGGAGGGAGGTGGCCTGGGAGTGGACACTGGCCTGGGCGTGGTTGATGGTCTGGGAGTGGTCAGTGTCCCTGGGATGGTTGGTGGTCCAGGGGTATTCAGTGGTCTGGATACACTGGGGAGGCTGGGCCACAGTTGGGATCAGTGGATGAACCAGGAAGAGAGTTGGATAAAAGACTCGTGGTCTCCTGTTGTGCTCCAGGGGATGGGCTTGGGACGTTGGAGAGGGATGGGGCTGGAAAGGGATGGGGGTCACCACCCTCCTGGGAATTTGGAGTGGTCCCACAAGAATCCCCCACAGAATCTTCTGTAGAGTCTGGGCACCACGGGACTCCCTGACAACGCTGAGCAACACATCCCCCTGCCTGTGGCAGCCAGGGCCGCTCCATCCCCTGCCCTTCCCTGCTCCCCTCGGCCGCTCATCCTTCTGCCTGCAGAGGATCCTTCCAGACCGCTCTCCCAGGGGCTCCATAGGGATGGAGCTGCCAGCAGTGATTCCAAAAACCCCCCACCCTGGTCAGAGCTGTCCTGGCTGATCCCAGTTTCTCCAGCCCTGGCTGTTCCCACAGGCACTGGCACAGCCCCCAGAACAGCCAGACATAGAGGCAAATACTTTATTAATTCCACATCCTGAGAAAGGGATTGGGAATGTCATAGGAAACGCTGGTCCTGGTTGAAACAGCTTTAGAAGTGCCCCCAGTTGGGGCTGCTGGCCTGAGGAGGGGCTGGCACCTCCACTGGCTGGGGGGATCACCCGCTGGCACCACCAGCTCAGTCATGGGATTCCCTGGGATATCACCCCCGCAGGGATAACCAGCCATGGGCTCACTGCCAGATCCATGGTAATCCATATGGTAATCCATATGCAATCCATAAGGCATCAACCGCCCCTACATCCCATTGGGAACACAGAGTGACCCATCTGCTGTTGTCACCCCTCCTGAATCCCTCCCACATGTCTGGGAATGCTCCACTCAGCACTCCCGGGGGCAGGAATTGTGAGACACTGGTCTGGAGGAGCTGTGGGACATGGTGTGTGTCCCCATGGAGCAGCTCAGACACTGCTGTCCCTCCCAGGGGCAGGGAGGCAGCTGAGGGGCACAGCTGGATGTGGCACAGCTCCCAAAGCTTCCCACAGCAGCACCATCACACCTTGGGAATGGCCAGGAACGAAAGATGGGAAAAGCCAGCCAGGTCCCCGCCTCACTGCGTGGAGAGGGACAGAAACTTTGGGACGTCAGGTAACTACATTAAACAACTCAAGGAAAAAAAAAAAAAAACCACCTGGAAAACTAAATTCAAGAGTCCCAACAGCTTCTCTGTTGGTCTGTGTGGCGATGGCACTGGGAGGGACGTTCCCCGTGCACCAGCAGTGTGTGGGGTGAGTGTGGGGCTCAGGCCACGGACACGTTCCGGTGGCTCCGGGGATGCCGGAGCGGTGCCAGGCCTGGCTTTCACTGGCTGCCTCCGGGCAGGTCTCACTCCCCTCCGGCTGAGGTAGCTGCAGAACTGGTTTCCCTTGGGATTTGTTACGGTGGGATTTGGGGCACAAGGAGATGAGCTGTGGCTGGGAGAGTGGGAGTGGGAGCCGGTGGCTGCCATGGCAGATCCACGAGGATCAGGTACTGCTGGCAGCACAGGGCTGGCTGACCCATCAAGTATTCCCAAAATGACTGCATCCATGCAGGATGGTCCCAAGAGTCCCTGATGAACTGGCCAGGACCCCTGGAATATGCAAGATCAGAACAGTGGGGTTTGATTTGTTCTACGGATCTTCCAGTGCAAAGCTCCGGCGTTCCCAACCTCCTGGAGGGGTTGGTGGATTTCCTTCCTGGGATGGGAAGTGACAAGTGTGGCCAGGACGTGGTGGGGTCTCCCTTCATCCAGCATCTCGGTCAGGAAGCTTGGTCGGTGGAGCGAAGGGCTCCTTGGGAATGCTGCCACTCCATTCCCTTCTCCCTGTCCCCAGTTGTGTTCCCAAGGCAAGGGGTCAGTTCCAGTGTCAAGTAATGAGAGAGCTCAGCTGCTGTTTGACCTGGTCATCTCCCAGGCAAGTCAGCTTGGCAAAATTCCAAGCATCAGCCAGTGGGCACGAGAGTCAGTGGAACGGTGAAGCATTTTGGGTCACTGGAGGCTCCTGCAGTTTGCTCTCCGTGGTGGTCTCCGTGCTTCCCATTCCTTCTACAGCTCGGGGAAGCTCCTAAAACGCAGCAGATTCCCAACCCTGGTGCCCCACCACGTGCAAACCCAACGCTCACAGCTTTTCTCCGGGGCCACGCCCGGTTGGGATCTGCCCCGCGGTCATTTCTGCATCATCGCCGACAGCGCCGCCCTGGTTCCCAGCCGGACCACGGGCCGCACGGCTCTCCCGACGCAGTTGGGAAGGGGGCAGCCCTTGTCCGGGAGCTCCAGCTGCGTCGCTCCCAGCAGGAGCACGTTGGGTGGACCCGCTTTTGTCGGCTTGGGGCTCGTGTTGCCCTTGGAAACGTTCCTCTGGGCCCCGGGAACCACGGGATCCTGGGGTGCCGGGATGGCAGTGGCGGGCTGGGCGTTCCCCGCCGCCCGCACCGCGGCCAGGGCCCGCTCGTGGATCTTCTCGTGGCGCAGGAGGTGGGTGCGGCGGGTGAAGCACTTGTTGCAGGAGCTGCAGCAGTGGGGCCGCTCCCGCAGGTGGGTGCGGAGGTGCCGCTGCAGCGACACGGAGCAGGACAGCACCCTCTTGCAGTACATGCACTTCATCTTGGGATTCGGCGGCCGCGCGGTCCCGGCGCCGGGCAGGCCCCCTCCGTCCGGCTCCTCCTTGGGCTGGCCCAGCCAGGCCCCCCCGGCGTGGATGCCGTTGCCCAGCCCGGGGGTGCCGCCGCAGAGGTCCCTCCGCGGGCGGACGCGCAGCTCCGGGTGGACGTTCCCCCAGACCTTGGCCCCGAAGGCCCTGTCCTTGATGTGGATGCTCCGGTGCAGGTCCAGGTGCCGCTTGTTGGTGAAGCCGATCTCGCACACGGGGCACTCGTAGGGCCCCTCCTTGGCGTGGCTGCGCTGGTGGATGATGAGGTTGATCTTGAGGCGGAAGCGCTTCCCGCACTCCGTGCAGGGATGGCACCATTCCCGCACGTACCCGCGCCGGCAGTTCCCCATCAGGAGGCCGTTGGTCTCACACCGGTTCGGCTTCTTCTTGCCCTTGGCTTTGATCAACTCGTTTTTGGGGCACTTCTGTATCTCCAAGCCGAGACAGGAATCCTCTGTGGAATCCTCTGGCAGCACCTCGGACTCTTCTTCCTTCACCTCCGTGTTCTCAGGGAAAGCCCCTTCACACGGCATTTCATCTTCTGGTAACGAGGCTTCCTCTGGAACAGAGGGACACCGGGTTTGTGTCACCAGGTGTGACACAGACCAGGGCAGTGCCTGTCCCTGTGCTGGCACTGCTGAGGCACCTCCAGTGCTGGGGGAAGTTCTGGGGTCTCCAGGTCCAGGACACGGAGGGGCTGGAGCATGTGCAGGGAAGGGAAGGGAGCTGGGAAGGGGCTGGAGCAGCAGGAGCAGCTGAGGGAGCTGGGGGGGCTCAGCCTGGAGAAAAGGAGGCTCAGGGGGGACCTTCTGGCTCTGCAATCCCTGACAGGAGGGGGGAGCCGGGGGGGGTCGGGCTCTGCTCCCAGGGAACAGGGAC